TTAGTTAGTTAACAGGCCAAAACTCTTTATAATCTCTTACTCTGTTCCTTTACTTTGTTCAAATATAACTGCTTTGTTTTAGTAATAAACAAATACAGATATAGGACTTATTTTCTAAAGTATGAACTTGTGATCTTCTGTAATATCAGAGAGGCTATTCAGTGGAACAGTCTAGCAAAGGAGCAAGTGTGAGCTGGCAGTTAGTGCAGTAGAATGGTTGTGAGACTCCCCATACTATACCTTGAAAAAACTTCTTTTAACCTTTTTTTACATTTTTGGATTAAAATACACTTTGCTGCTCTTTCTGCTATGATCTTCATGCCTGAGGAGGGCATATGTGAGGAAAGAGAGCTATTTTCTTCTGCCTTAAAGGAAAGTATGACACTCCCATCATCCTGTCTGCACAGGAGGTTATTAACATGATTGTTCTTACGGGCTTCATAATTCTGATCAGCCTCAGGACTGGTCTGCAGGAATCCCGTAGTCACGCCTGACTGTCAGTCTCCATCTGCTACTTCAGCATGGCATGAACTCCTCCGAGAAAGCAAACAGTTGTAACCTGGTGCCTCCTTGAGTTGAAAAATGAGTAAAAGCCTCAGAAACCTAGAGGGGTTGATGCTGCAAGCATTTATCCCATCTATATTACTAGCTGGCTGTACATACTCCACCTCTAAATGTGGCCTGCTTTCTCTACACTCTGTTATATTCCTTTTGTTTCATGCAAGAATTGGCACAATCTTCCCTCCTCCCTTTCTTCTTCTTTTCCTGGTGTTACTTGTGTTGCAGAGTAGTGCATGGGAGAGCTGTTCCAAGGAGAGCCTAAATTCCTAAGACCAACAGGTCAGATAGGAGTCTATTTTAGGCTGGAAAGGAGGATTCAGTATAAAATCAAGTCAGTTTGGGGATGTGGGTCATCGTGTAGGTCGCCAAGAACTGTCAGTCAGTTCATTTTCAAAAGTTACAGCAAGCAGAACATGTAACGTTGTCTACCTCAACATGCATACAATTCTCAAATATAATAAATTTAAAAATTAAATGCTTTTTCTTTCTGTAAAATTTTGTGATCCAGAAAACAATAATGTTATGGAGGAAACTGATTTTTTTTTAATTTTTTTTTTTTTTAAATAAGGTCTTAAGAATATACTCAAAATCAGAAGAGGCGGTACCAAATTAGCAGGGATGTGTCTTAAGTCGCAATGAAGTATATTGGACATTACCAGTCTTGTTTCGCTAAAATGATTGATTTAGCTGGCCAGGGTCCCCCCTGTCAGAGGATTGGTTTTTAATGTTCTTGTCCATAGTTTTACAGCAATAAAAAGCACATAGTGTCCTGGTGTTATGGTTTGAAGTACTCATAACAATTTATTGTTGTTCAGACAGTTATTCTATCACCTGATGAAGGGGAATTGAGGAAAAAACAAGGAAACCCAGGTGTTGAAAACTAAACAGATTTAATAGAATAAGACTAAATAATTAACAGTAATAACACTAAAGAACCAATATTGATCCCGATATGCTAGTATAAAATATACAAGGATTATGACTTGGCCAATATCAGTCGGAAGCTGTGCACTCCCAGCAGGGGACAGCAAATGTTGGACACTGGCAGTGCTATGGCTTTGGGAGGAAGGAAAAGGCTCAGGGGTCCAGCACCGGGGCAAGAGGTTTGGAGGATCACAGCCATCAAGGGAGAGAGAAACTCTGCATCAAACTTCTTAATTTATATTGAATGTGATGTTCATGGTATGAAATAATCCAGCTTGGGTGAAGTGCCCAGGTCTTGCTCCTCCTCATCCCTGCACCTGGCAAGGCTCAAAAACACTAAGACTTTGAAACCCACACACCACAGCTGGGTATAAACTAAATACTTTCACAAATTCAGACACTAGAGTCTTCTAAAAATGCAGTTTTCCCAAGCATTAGAAGAGACCTCACTGAAAAGTAAAATTACTGAAAGAGAAATTAATCCTGTTGCTCAAACCAGGTTACATGCCTATCAGTGCTTTGCAATTATTTAAAACAATAAAAGCTAGTAAAAATTGGAGTGATTTACCCATTTTACCATACAGTAGCTTCATAGCCAGTAGAAATAGTCATTGTTTTGGCTGTTACCTCAATATCCATCTCCTGGTGCTCTGAAAGGCAAAACAAAGCAAAGTGGGACTCGCAGTGTGTCTGTGAGTAAGCCAGGCTGGTCTGTGTGAATCTGTACAGACTTAAAGGAGTCAGGTCTGGGATAAGCGTGGACACTGGCCTGTCCATCCTCTCTGAGACCTCTGTAGATTGCCAGTTTGCTAAAGCGCATAGGTATCATAAGCTCCTAAAGAAACATAACTAATTCTTGCTGAGATTGTCCAGATATGTTGACCTGGTAACAAATCTGGGTTTGAGGCTGCCTTCACATCAATTGGCAGGCAGCGTGGCCATCAGTATTGGGACCCACGGCAAGGAGATGTGTGGGACGGTTGAGGCTTGCTGGCAGTCCCTTCTTGGTAATGCCCAGGCCAGGACATGTGCTACATCCAGGCAGCGTCTCACGGAGTTCCCTCAGGAAACCAAAAACCTGTATGTAAAATTCAACACTGGACTTGCAATGAATTTGCAGATAGTAGGAAACCAGTGGCACCCAGTAGTCATGGGCACGCACAGGACATGGGCTTGATATGTGAGAGAGAGGATCGAGGAAGAGTGTGCAGGCTGCCCTGATGTACGCTGAAGAGCGTACTTTCCTGATCTCTAAATATGGTGGCTTGTGACGTTCCTTGATGGTTTCAGCATGGTTTTGCACACTCAGACCTGAAACTGGATGATGTCCTTAAGTCTGTGACAGAGACATGAAGGATCTGCTGCCACATAACCTCCCTGCTTATCTAACCAGATACAGGCGGATACTAGGATTGATTGGCTTGTTTGTTTTAAGCCTGTTCTTCCAAAGGGTGTAAGGAGTAGCCAAGGCCTCTGTCCCTCCAGTTGTGGTTGCCAGCAGCTTTGCTGTCTCCTTGTGGTAGGAGAGAGAGTGTGGGTGTTCTGCTGTGGGATGCTGCTGGACCCTGGAGGGAGGGCTCTTCATGCTCTTACCAGGATCCCTGGGATGGAGCTCCATGTTCCACAGCTCAATGTGTTGCTCTGGTTCTCCAGTGAGAAAACTGCTTTTTTGTCTCCTGCTGTGCTCCAGGTCCCTATTCTGTCACATCTTGCTGTCCCCAACAGTTTTTGATGTCCCAGGCCTATGGTGCGCAAAATGAGAGCAATAGCAGGATTCCAAGGGTGTTACATACTGTTTACTGTATATCACAGAATCTTTAGAGTCGGAAGGGACCTCTAGAGATCATCTAGTCCAACTCCCCTCTAAAGCAGGATTGCCCAGAGCACATTACTCAGGACTGCATCCAGGCGGGTTTTGAAGATCTCCAGAGAAGGGGACTCCACAACCTCCCTGGGCAGCCTGTGCCAGTGCTCTGTCACCCGAACTGTAAAGAAGTTTTTCCGTGTGTTGGAACAGAACTTCCTATGTTCCAGCTTACACCCATTGCTCCTCGTCTTGTCACTGCAAACCACCGAGAAGAGTCTGGCTCCATCCTCCTTCAACCCACCCTTTAGATATTTATAAGCAATAATAAGGTCTCCCCTCAGCCTTCTTTTCTCCAGGCTAAAGAGTCCCAGCTCTCTCTGCCTTTCCTCATAAGGGAGATGCTCCAATCCCTCAATCATCTTGATTGCCCTAATATATAGGGTATATATATTTTTTTTTATTTTAAAACTGGGAAGTATCAAACAATAAGCTTTGGTTTAAAAATAATTAAAATCACCATTGTTCAAGTGCTACAAAGAAATACAGGGCAAAGCTATGCAATGGTGCTCACCCTCTTCCCTGCTTAGAAATCCCACCAGGAACCAAATGTTCACCATTGCAGTGTGCATGAACCTTTTCTCTGTTATCAGTAGTCTGCTATTAGAGGAACATATGCATCATACTTCCCCTTTTGCTAATATAGAGAGAGCACACCATCACAAATCTATTACAGGTCAACCTTCACTCCCTCTGGGATGGTTTGGGTTCTCTTTTTTTTTTTTTTTTTTTTTTTGTTTTTTTTGGTTTTTTTTTTTTTTTTTTTTTTTTTTTGGATTTGTTGGTGTGTTGTTTTTTGTTTTTTTTTTGTTGTGAGGTGGTTTGGTTTTCATTTGGGGTTATCTTTTGAATATAGGTCCTGCCTGGTGCCACGTAATAAAATGTAGACATTGCAGCAGTACTTTTGTACTACAGAGAACGAACCTAGAGGACTAGCTGAGTGTTGCAGAGTGGCTGGTTGGTTTTGATTTTGCCTGAATAGATGTAATTTGTACTTCTAATACCATGCCAGAACTCAACAGGAAATTGCTCGGGTTTATTTCCATCTTTTGTTATGAAATTGTTTCAGTGTTTCAATGGAGTTTTTCCATAAGCATCTTTCTTTTCCATATGTTTCTGACTATTAAAATCAGAGTTTGTCTGTGTTGAAGTAGCATTAGTTTAGCTGTTTCAGGGTAAGCATTGCTGACAGGAAAGTGTAGCGATGGCATGTGAAAGTCAGCATTTACTGAGTAAAATTGGTGTGCTGAGCTTAAGTGTGCTGCCAGTGAACCTGTGAAACCATGTGGTCATGTGTGCTACCCATGGTTTAGTTCAGGGATGGTGGCGGCTGTGGTGGTGTTGCACGCACGTGGTGGTGGTATAAACTGCAGTTTGTCTCACTCTCGCTTGTGCCCTGTGTCAGTTTCAGGATTTGAGGTTCCCTGACACTGATTTGCACTCGTGGCTATTTCACAGTCAGTTTTCTTGTTGAATGTCAGTATTCTCCTGAGCTACACGACTGGGAAGTTGAAACAAAATCCGTCTGTTCTGCAAAACTCCCTGCCTGATGCCACTTACGGTTACAAGCCCTTGATCAGAAAGCTTTTCTAAAAATCATGATCATGGGGTTATCTTATGTTCCATTCTGTATGTTTCTGTTTCTTTTCAGGGAAGGATCATGTTTGCAGATTTATTGGGTGTGGAAGGAATGAAAAATTTAATTATGTCGTCATGCAACTTCAGGTGAGTTCTGTGCTTCTGCTCTCCCCCCTGTCCCATGGAGATGGCATCACAGGGAAGAGAGAATGTGAGAGAATAAGGCCAAGCCCCCCTAAAGAGACTTTGTACATATAAAGTGGGTGGAACGGGAGACAGTGAGAAGTGGTGATGTTTCTGTGATATCCCTTGGGGCAGCTCCAGTTGTCAAGATGCACTAAGATATTTCATAGCTCTGCTTTTCTGTTTAAGATGGCTTTCTGTCAATTTTCTGGGAAAAGCACTCAATTCAGAATGCTCACAAGAGCTACCCACAATATCGTGCAGCGGTGGCAGCTGTTTGAAATAGCTCCTGCTGAGCTCTGTGATGCAGCGTTCAAAATATGTGTCTTGTATCAGAGCTCAGAGTGTGGTGGGAGCCAGTGGTGTCACATCACCAGCAGAGTCTTCTCTATGAAGGGGAATGATCTCTGGCTCCCCTGTCTCTACCAAGCTCAGCAGTAGCTTTGCTTCTGCTGTGAAAGTGTTTTCTCCTGTTTGAATACTGCTGATCTTAAGTCAATATGAGTAAATGCTTGGGTAGCAAGCACATGGCGACTGCACTGCTTGACAGCCAGCTACTTCTATCAGAGTTAGCCAGCTGAAGTCTTACATAGGTGTCCACGCAAGCCACAGTAACAGCAGGAGCTGCAGGGACCTCTGCATAGTTCAGCATGAAACTTCACCAAGAAAACATATATAGTTAGAACTTCAGAGCCCAAATGTGGTGGTACTGTCACGAAAACAGCTTTCTTCTTGACTAAAGCAGCTTTCTTTTACAGCATACAGTCACAGGAGAAAGAGTTGGAGGGGAGCAAGTGGGAAGAGATGGCTGAGTCAAAAACACATGGAAGAAAGGCCTTTAAGGACAGGGAGATACTTTCAAACTAAAGATGCTTCTTTCTGCCTTTGAAGCTGGCCTGTTTCAGCAGCTGACATAACAGTTGACAGGGAGCTTGTCCTCTCTCTCTCTCTTGCAGTTTATATGATCAGGGCTTGCAAAGCACTGTATGATTATACAGTACAAGCCTACCCTTCCCCTGAAGAGCTTGCAGCCCATGTCATGTTTCTTTATGTATAACTTGGGTCATAGAACGTGCTGAAGGAAAGTGAGAAGGTTGAAGCCCTAAGTAATGAGAAGTAAGCTGCTGCATCAACTGGAAGGTTATTTTTAATTAGCAAATGGTGAATGAAGTAAAATAGACACCAGCAGACCCCAGTACTTCTTTAAAATAAACTTCTGATTTTGAAGCGTAGTTCTAATTTGCAGGGTAGATGTATAAAACCAGTAAATTCCTGGTGCTTGGGTTTGCCTTTTACACGCATTGGCATCCCAGCTGCTGTTATGGATAGAAAAAACCTTTTGCTTTCTAACCAGCCCTGGCTATCACTGCTGCTGCAGTGTGAGTGTGAACATGATTCTTGAAAGGGCTCATCTGGAGCTCATGGAACAACAAGGCTTCTAACCCCACAATCCTGTCCTTAACAAGCCTGATGAAGATGACTATATCTTGGAAAAAAATTTCTCTGCACAGAATCTCCTACTTTCTAGCCTGTTCTTGACTATGTAGCTGAGCTCGTAGAGTAGGCAGAGCTAAAAATCATTTCATTATTTGCAAATGAGGACTTTGATACTTAAAGCATTAGCTAGTTTTGTACCATCACTCTTCAGGCTAAAATTGTCCTTCAGCTTCAAGGTCTGCTGAGACATGGTTTATCGTGTGTCCCTGCCTGTTGTGTACTGCAGTTCTCCCTTTCTCTTCAGTCTCTGGGACAGAAGCTTCCACTCTAAGCTTTGCAACTCATTGCATCTGCTCTGTTTCTTAGGCAGCCTGATGGTGTTTATTTGGAAAATAATGCTTATTTTCTGTCTTTTCCTGGTAGCAGTATTGTATAGTCACTTGCCTTGAGTTGTTTCTGGAGAGCAGGTGTCTGAGACTGTATCCCAAACCAGCTGGGAGAAATTATGGCACATTTCAGTGTGTGGCTCTGGAAGAAATCTGCCTTTCCCTGTTACCATTGGATAAGAGATCAAGTGTCCAAGGAACCGCTTTACAGTGGAAAGAAAGATCTGCTGTCAATTCAGTAACCCGGATCTTTCAGCATATCCATGGCAAATCTGTGCTTCCTCTAGTAAACTGTCACAGAAATTAAAAAAGATAAGCACTAGAGAGGTAGCTTAATGTTATTTTGTTCATGCTAAGGAGAAAACCTGCGCCGGTTGCTGTGGTTTGGCTCTATCTGTATTAGCTGACTTGTATCAGCTGTGGTTGTTCAAGGGACCGGAGCCCTGGAGTGAAACATGGGTCAAACCAATTTGAGAGACTAGTCACACGCTAAAAGAGACAGTTGCAACTGGCCCCTTAATGTCTGTAAATAACTTGAGAACTGGAAATGGGTGGATGAATAGATGGCATTTCACTGGTTTGGAGAGCGATCTGTGTTTTCTCATCAAATGTTCGGAATCTTTTATATATCTTCTGTTGTAAATTTTGTTTTAATACATCTGGACTTGTATGTATTTGCAGAAGCAGAATCAAGAGATTCAGTATTATAGTGATAATCAGCATGTTCCTATAACTTTTGTTCTTGATGCATGTCCTCTGACTCTTATTCATAATCTTTCTAATCAGTTGATAAATGCATTAGTTCTGAGGATTAGAGGGGCACACTGCCACAGAATGTAATCATTTTAACACCTTCTTACCTTCTTTCTCTTTAGAAATCTAAAGAGGTATAGACAAAGTTGAGATGGCAGAGATCAAAGAACACTGTGATTCTCTTGGTATTTAGTCTGTCTGTCCTTTTTTTTTTTTCCCCCTAAATTGTCTTTATTTTCACATACAGCTGGTAGACATTTTTGCCCTAGAAATTTGATTAGCTGGAGGTAAATTACCAATTTTTTTAATAAGTATTTTTTTAAGCTGGTGGAAAAATCCTCCTCTCATGATTTTGGGTATGACTCTCTTGATAGTCAACTTTCCCCACTTTAGTGTTGCCACAACGATGCTGACTTGAGCTTGAGCCAGACAGTTGTGAGCTAGGGAGTTTCTAATGAAACTGCTTCTATGAGCTGTAACAGATAGTGGCTTCATGACCTGCTTATCATACTTGCACTGCTTTAATCTTTAGATGGCTCAGAGAACAGTCAAAGGTTGGTCTGGTTTTAACAGTAGAGGAACGCTGGGCTCATGGAGTCTGAGGCACTGCTGTCCATGCCATGCCTGTTTCCCAAATAGTACATCAGTTCACTTCCCAAGATAACGGTCTGGTATCTTCTTATTGGCACGTACATCACTTAAAAGTTAAAATGAAGTATTGGAAAATCAAATACAAGAAATAAAACAGACATAAGGTGAGCACCTTATGCTGATTAGCATTTCTGCTTTTTTGGGGACGCATGTTAGAACTTGCAGCTGTGAAACGCTATGCTTTAGTGTGATGGCTTAAGTGTTTTATTGATTGTTTCAGGGCCGAAATCTGGCAGATCTCAGAAGGAGTCAACCTCGAGGGACTTTCACGCTGAGCACAACGCTGCGATTAGGCAAACAAATTTTGGAATCAATAGAAGCCATTCACTCTGTGGGATTTCTGCATCGTGACATCAAGCCTGTATGTTGTTCTGGAATTTTTTCTTTTGGTTGTATGTCTGTCTGTTCTGCTTGAGTCAATAAAGACAGTCTGAATACGGGCAGATCTTAGTAGAGGCATTTAGGCCTCCTTGCACACTCCTAGTGTCTTGCACATTGGCTATTTTCTATAGTACAGAATATTAATACAGTATTGTCATTCCTTTAAGGGCACAGCGAACTAGTTTTTATTGGCAGAGGCTGCTTCATGGTGGGTTAGCAGCTGCCAGTCATACTTGTACCAGTCAAGATCATTTGACAAAGCAATCTAATTCTGAGCCATTTGGAGTCCAACCAATTATTACTGTAAAAGGGGTTCAGAAAGTATGTCTTGCTCTATGACCCGTTACTTGAATAAATGCTATTTCATGCTTTGACTTAGCTAAATAATCCTTTTAATCTTTTCTGAGCAATTGCCAAAAATACTGGAGCACAGTTTCCAGTGTCAGAAACAAAGTCACAGTGTTGGTCATCTGCCTAGGAGAGATACAATAATTCCAAGTCTCCCTGAAGAAGCCAGTCTTTTTTCATGAAGCTTTTCACTACTTGACCTGGGCACTTGTTTGTACACCATCCCTGAGACCATCTTCCTTCCAGCAAAATCATTTGCTGCTTTTAAAATCAGCTGGTTTTGGCTATCAGATTCAGCTGCAAATCAGTCACTAATGTGACTGCCCACAAATCCTTTAGCAGCCATCCATTATGGTAAAGGATATAACTTTAAGATAGGGGTTACAAAAGAGCTGCTCCATTTGCTTGTTGTCAGTTTATTTATTAAGAGCCAAACCCAGTGTTTTTCAGGTGTCTGAATGTTCATATAAATTTAGGTAATGCAATACAGTGGATGGACATTCTGGGAGTTAGGGCAGAATAATGCATGCTAACAGATGAACCACAAACAGACGCATTTGCCTACAATAACTCCAGCCTGTTATGCAAGTGATGGAGCTCTCACTGCAGAGCTAGTGGTGTTAAATGTAGGTCTTTCTCATAGCAGCTGAAATTTAGCTAAGCTAATGTGAATTTTAGTTGTTTTGAGACTCCACAGTCACTTATCTGCAAAGTGAACTTCTTAACATTGCAGTGATTCTTTAATCATGATGTTTAAGATGCATCTTAAAATTCTTCTCTTTGACTTATATTTCCACCAGAGGCATGTGGGTCTCTATGGCAAAGTTTTGTTAACAAATGGCTGCTCTTACCCAAGTTGCTGGTATCAAATTGATTTTTTTTCTTTCTTTGTCTAGTCCAATTTTGCCATGGGCCGCTTACCTTCAACATACAGGAAGTGCTACATGTTAGACTTTGGTCTGGCCCGTCAGTATACCAACACTACTGGTGAAGTCCGGCCAGTAAGTAGATTTTAAGTAATTTTTTTCCACTTTTGCAACTGCTTAGGCATGGAAAGGTTTTGTGATTTTGTTTGTTTTGTGGTTGTTATGCTTGGTCATTATATTGGACTGCATTTTCTGCAAGGTGAGAAGCAACAGGTGACTTCAACTGAGTTGAGAATCTAAGAAAGGATGCTTGCTTTTTGTCTTACAAGGTGTGTGGCTTTTTTTATTTCTTTTTTTTTTTTTTTTTTTTTTTTTTTTTTTTTTTTTTCCTTTAGGATAATCATGTTTTCCGCAGGCTTGGAATACTTACTGAGTACATTATGGCCAAGCAAAGAGGGTGAGCCCAATGCTGGCCATGTAACTTCTGTACTCCCAGAGGACTGGTCTAGTTCAGTTCTGTGTGATCTGGGGAACCAGGTCGGTGCGTTCTTAAAGCTGTTCATGAAAAAAATGCTAGAAGTGAGAGGATGACCTGATCTCTGAGGCTGAGCTTACTGTGAACTGCAACCTGTAATGCTGTTCTCACCCTTGCTTGGCTTTAGTTTTATGTATATTGCCTCCTGTCCAGATTTCTTAGCAGGAGTATTTCAGCACGCGTGCTGGGAGGGGAGGTAAGGGCAGGGGACATAACTTGCGCCACGTGACATGTGTGTTATCTTCAGTCCTTTTACCAGCACTGTGTTATCTGAGGTCGCTTATGAGGATGCATTAAGCTTCAGATGCTCTAGGTATCAGTCAGAGCATTCCTAGATTTATTCTGGAAAACGGCACAAGCAGGGAGGGCTCAGACAATCTCTCTTTTTATCATCCTAGGCTTAGGACCTTTTGGTCTGCACATCTTTTCCATCTGCAAGATAATTGTTGTTCTGGAAAATGTTGACAATGTGAGAGCTAAGTTCAGAGACTCTGTAGTGCAGGATATGGTAAGGGAAGTAGGAAGAAAGCAAAGACCAGTGAGCAGATTTTGTCTTTAGCAGATGAACAGAGCTGGAGGATTTTTCTCCTACTTTTTCTTCTTTTTTATACGTCTTTTCAGCTGGACGTTGCAAGGCCTTTCTTTTTAGCTGTAGATGGGAGCAGCTCCAGAGGTTGTGTCTGAATGTTATTCTTGGAGACACACTATGTACTAGTGGTCTTTCTTGTCAATGCTGTTTAGTTTGGGGATAACCCTTCTCCATATTGCCCTTTTCAAAATACAGCCCCACTCCTTTCCTCTTTGAGCAGTCAGAATTCAAACTCATTATGGATTTAAACTGGCTATTTGGTTTTCTGCAAAATTTCTTCATTGCCACAGTGAAGCACCTATGTTTTATATCTGTATTTCAAGTACCATTGTTTGAACACTGTTCGTTCTTTACAGTTAAAGAAACTACTCTTTCCAGATGTCTCTTTTGGATCATCTCTTTTCTTCCTTTCTCCCACTAATTTAAAATTACTTTGCTTTTATTTTGCTACATCCTTAGAGAGTACTCCCAGGCTCGGTTTTGGAAACAGCAGTACATCCAGCCTTGACATTTTTTAGAGCAAAAGATTATTCAGCTGTGCATCACAAACTGTGTCCTGCTTGGGTTGGTGTGGGTGAGGTGGGGCTTTGTTAGGACACAAGACTCTGAGAAGGTTTGTCTTAATTCTGGTCATTCTGGTGGTTGTTTGCTTGCTTGCCATAGATTGGTTTCATAGAAGGACTAAGGACACTTTTTTTTTTTCCCCCTGAAAAAAGACACGGGGACCCTCAGAGAGGTGGGAGTATGCGCTGCTGAAAGTGGTAAAAAGTCTTGGTTTGTTTGGGATGTGGGAGGATCATATGGGGTAAATACGTCTCATATACCTAGTGTACCTATTCTCCCATGCAACACTTCAGGTGGTGAAGCTTTTTGACAAAAATGATACAATAAAAAATACATAAATATTTGTTTCAGTTCCTTTTAACGTTATGTTGTAGTCACTGGGCTGTTTGATCCTTTTTTGTCCCTGCTGCCTGATACCACTGTTGAGTCCCACTTACCGGACTGAGAAATTTCCCTGGAGAAGCATGGTGTGATTGCTGCCCAAATAATGCACTGAGCTTTAGGAAGGAGATGGGGCTGAAGGGCGGTATGAAGACAAGTGAAATAAGATTTTTATTTTTGTAGTTTTTTTTTTTCTTCTTTTAATTAAGAACTTTATCTTTTATTTCACCAAAGAGATTGTTTCAAGCCATTAAGGTAGATTCTTCTTTCTCCATTCTCTTTCAGTACCTTTATCTATGAAGAATACAATTCCCAGATTTATAACGTGATCATCCTGAGCCTAGTTTTTTTGTGATTTGGTTCTGAGGTACAATACACAAGATAGGTAGGGGAAGGAGCTCGCTTTCTCTTTTTCTGGAAGCATGTCTGAATTTTGCTTTCAGTCATATTCATTTATTTACAGATGCTTTCTGCTCAAGTAGCTTCTGTGCGGCTTCCTACAGTTTCAGAACCATTGTCATGCTTTATGAATAATACCATAAAAAGTATTTTCTGTTTTCACATCCTTTGAAATTCATAACCTCAATCGTGCTTGTCAGCTTTTCAGAAAGGTTCTGAATGAGTTGCTAGTAATACAGATAATGGGCCTGGCCTTTAGGATGCTGTGGCTTTGTTTTGCTTAGCTTACCTTTTCCTTCTAATTTTTGGTCACTTTTCCATTTTGAAAACACCTTTGATTTTGAAAAAGGGAAAAGACAATAATTCTGTGGAGCAAAATCCTCTAGAAGGCTGTTGGCACTGATTTTATGTATATTTTTTATGTGTAATTCACTGATGCCAAACAGTGTGGTGGTTGGTTTGGGGTTTTTTTATTTTATTTTTATTTGAAAAGACAAGGAGCTCCTTAGTAGGTAGATAGGATAGGCCATCACCAAAAAGGCCTCATTCTGATTTTCTAGAGATTGATTAAAGCTTTGAGGTGGGATCATTTCTACTGTCTGTGGTCTTCACTGAGCATTAGTTCCTCCATCCTCAGCTGTTACCACTCTGGCTTTCCAGACCCTCTTTCAAGGGCTACCATAGTAGCTCTTACCTAGGGAGCTGTTACTCTGCTAAGCTTCTGATGAATGCGATGTATTTGGTTTGTATGTTTTTACAGAGGATAGCCACTTGACAGTTGCTCGGCATTTGTAAAGTTATGGGCCACTTGGCTGAACTAAATCCAAATTTATTCTGAATCGGAATTTATTCTGTGCTTCTAGGAAAACAAAACTGATCTACCTTATCTGGGATGCTAATATTAGCACAAATGCTACTCTTTGGAGAAAAACTGTTGTTGCACAGATTTGCTTTCATGGGAACGGTCTCACCTGTCTACCGCTTGCCCCTTGCCAGATGTTGCAAAATCTCCTGGATAACAGTCTGTAGGAACTCATATTGCACAATAAAGACAGAAGATGTTTGGAGCCAGGAGGTGTGTAAGGAAGCGTCAGCAACAATTTTCCCTCTGTTAGAAATCGAGGGAACTTGGCTGTTCTCAACAGTCTCATTACTTGGTATTTCTCTGAGGTTGTAGAAGTCAGTCTCTGATGGTTACTCCTTCAGACAGGTAGAGCAGATGTGGATCACTTACCTAGCCATTTGGTGTCCATTGTGTGTTGAGAACTGCTTAAGGGCCTGGCTGAAGGCTCTTACTTTGGCTACTGTCAGCGTTTCTATCATTTTGATCAGTCAACATCCTGGCCAGCAGGAGGGACTCTGGCTATTACGATAAACAGGACAGACTGCTAGCGCAAAAAAAAATTAATCTTTTGAGAGGGTTTTGTTTTCAAACACTTGTGAGGACAGGGAAATGAAAGAAAAGACAGGCAGCTTGACAAAACTGCTAGAGGAGATGCTCACTTCTTTACTGCTCTTCCCTGCCCCTCCAAGCCCCACTCTCTCCTGTTTGAAAGGTGGCACATACTGGTTAAGGTCTGTGATCTGCATTCAGCAGGGTATGTTTGACCTCGGATTTCCCATTTCTAAAGTTATAATTCACAAAATATTCCTGGTCCATTACCCTTAGTAACATCTTTTGATGCTCAATACGTACATATTTACAGAAATAGAGAATGGAAAAATTACTTAGTCACAATAAACAGGGCCATCTCCAGGGCTGTGAGACTCCTGAGGTCCCTTTTCTAAGGAATATGTCTTAATTAGGTGCAAAGCTGTGAAGCTTCAGTGACAGAGATCGCAATACGCCTGCTCCCATTCTGCCTGTGGCTTAAATACATGATGTTTGTGGTACTCTGCTGGCAGGTGTGAATGCAGGAACACCTGTAGAAGAAGAGGTTATTGAACCTGAGACTTCCAGACTTTGGGTGAATGATGTAATGCTGGCAAGAAGAAACCGCTCCTGTTTTGTCTTGTCCTTTAGTTGTGACTCTGAACCTTCATTTCTTGTTTTCCTGGTTCTGTTCAATGCTCACCAGAAGACTCCTGGGTTGCTTCACCCTGCCGTCTTGCCTCTCCAGGGAGATACAAGAGTTAATCAAGCTCCCTATGAGTATCAGGGCTTGCAATTGCAAGGCTTTCCTTCAGTTGTCTAAAGAAGGCTTCATCTACTTTTTCTTTTTGATAAGGCACTCAGGAGCAGATGCTCACCATTACATTACCTGTGTTAGTTGCTGCTGATCACTTGTCCATCAGTAGTGGCTATCTCATCACCTGCTCCAAGGAGAGCTTTACACGTTCAAGCCACGCCTGCATAAATGCATATCCTTGCCTTCCCAGTCCTCCTTTCCATTCATTGCAGCCCTCAAGCCATGAGAGCTGTCCCACCACGTCTCTAATCTCAGTGAGATCATAGTTTTGCAATAGCACATGTATCATGTGGTCCATACAGACTTTCCCTAATTACATCCCAGCTACCCACATTTCTACTGATAATGTTTTTTAGCAGGGTTTTGAGTATTCAGTCTGGTGCATAGGGTCTGAACCAACATTATACCTTTTAAAAATTAGTATTGCACGTGCCAGATTAAACAGAATGCAAGGGGACTTCATCTGCCCAACTACATG